AGAGTCAAAAAAACATACACAAACAAAACCAAATTAAACCCTGCGGCTCCTGACGATACATTGATGTGTAAAGACACAAAACGATCGGTCTGTGCAAGAAACTGAACAGTATTTATATAGTTTTTTACCTCTGATTCACAGCAATGTCCAGCTGTCCTGAGCGCGTTCACAACAGCCTGCGCGTGACGCGTGTACGTGCTCTGGCATAGTAGACATAGATATATATAAGTAGATGCCCGTGGTAAGCAGATAAACATCACATTTTCATTTTTGGGTGAACTACCCCTTTAACTAGGGAAAGCGATACACAAATTGAAAGGAGAAATAAGCATATATAACAATAAATATAAAAATATAGCCTAATAAGTTAATAATAATAATAATATACAGATGTTAAATTAAATGTTTACATATATAACAATAAATATAAAAATATAGCCTAATTATATAAACTAAATATAAGTTAATAATAATAATAATATACAGATGTTAAATTAAATGTTTAATGTTAATAAAAATGTTTTATCTGATAATATTAATATCTGATAATCCCGGGTTGCTATGGTCACGCAGGTTTGTTTACGCATTAAACTCGTGGCCACAGAAAAATATGTCATTCCCTCAACATAACATCTCGAGGCCACGACATAGTATCACGTTCCCATGAGTTATTATGACGTGGCCACGACAAAACTAAGTGAACCGAACTTGTCATCTCCCGGTCACTGTAGAAGTAAGCCTATCAGATGTCATAAATATAAAAAACAGGCACCCATTACAGAGGGCTGCGAAATTCAAACAAAAGTCATTGTTGTTGATTATTGCCCTTAATATTGTAATCATGTTATTAGAATACTTTAAAAGACCATATTCTTATAGGCTACTCAGCCAAATGTTGTAGAAGAACTCTATCGAACCTATTAGAGCTGAGGCTGAAACCAACACAGAAAGCTGTCTTTGATCTTTTATTCTTGCAAGAAGGTCATTCAACACAGAAGGGCTTCTGCAGGAGGAAGAGCCAGTTACGCAGATGCACAATAGTTTATAGATATTCTTAAGGCTAACACATTCACACTAAAAGGAATAAAACACTTAGCAAGCCGTGGTGTATATTTATACACCAAGGCTTAAAAACTGTATGCATAAAACTTTTACATTGTGTCTACACAATCACATTGTTGTCATGACAAATTTGAACAAAACTCTTCTGCCCCTGATTGGCCAGTTCATTAATGCGCTTAACAGAAATGTTCGCAATTAGTTGAAATGGTCAACAGGCAATGCAAGCCCTCATTTATTTCCAGCTCTGGCATGCGCACTGTTCTCTTTTTGCAGAATAATAAAACAAGCTAAAAAATCATAGTAACGAGAGATGCTTATGTGGAGTAAAAGGTATTTGGCATAAAAATGTAGCAAAATAGAGATTGTAATAAATTTAAATACTACAGAAAGTTCAAATTTCTAAAATATCTACCAAAGTACATTTACAGAGTATTTATACTTTCTTACTTTATACCATTTGAAAACGCAAAGTAATAAATATACTGTTTCCTTCCAAATGAGCTTTTAAGCTTTTATTACAGCTCTCAATAGCTCTCCAACGGTGTTTTTTTGTTTTAATGTGGTGCAGATGGTGATATACATGGAATCCTGTCGATCCGGATCGATGTTCACCAAACTCCCCGACAACGTTCATGGTAAGAAGGGGAATTATATTAAACTATGATGAAATCATGTATATTATATAAATACACACTGTGTTTTCTAGTGTACGCAGTGACTGCAGCGAGAGCACATGAGAGCAGTCATGCCTGTTATTTTGACCGTGTGAGGAAGACCTTTCTCTCTGATGAATTCTCAGCTCTTTGGATGTACTACACTGAAGCGATTTGTCTTTAGCGTGATTTGGGTCAAAAATAGAATTATGCTAACAAATAAGACTATAAATAAAAATGTTTGTATTTCTCAGAATGACCTTGATAATAACACATTGCGGGATCAGTTTAGTTATCTTCAGGAAATGATGCAGGGATCTCTCTCCTTCTGTTTTGGGGACATGGTAAAAACACTTCACACAGCATGCATTAATAAATAAAACACTAAATTCACTTTCTCGTAATTGTCACTCATACAAGGTTATATATTTATATATTTGGATTCCATCAGTGTTGTATTTTCTAGTTTCTAGAGTTTTTCTTTTGACTTTTCTTTAGACAATGGGTGAACATCTGATCAGAGAGTTTGTGAATAACACCCCTCCAAGAGTTCAGGGCGAGACAAGAGCTGAGGGGCTTGCATTAACTCATTTGACCTCTAACGATGAAGTGCCATTCAAAATCTTGGAGCATCGAATTAAAACAGAAACTGATGAATACAAAAGACAACATCTGATCAGAAAACATGAAGCTCTTCATCAGGTTTGTAATACAGTACATCATATATGTAACTAACATGTCAAGCGCAGATGTTCTACAATAGCTGTGTGTTACTGGATGACAAAAATCCTTAAAAACCCTTCATTGATAACTCACTCAAGTTTTGGAAGGTCACCTACAAGATTTCCTGCAGTCACAAAAATATCAAACCAAAAGATGGTTTCAACGACAACAACATAAACAAATGTTAGGCCCAAACGTAACTTCCGGTAGACTTCTGCAAAGAACAACAGAGTCCCTGTAGAGTAGAGATTATTTCTGATAACTAGCAAAATAAATAAGTAAATGACATTAGCTAGCAGGTTAAAACTATGTCCAGCCAGTATTATTTTGAGCTACCAGCAGAAGAAAGGAACCGTTACTTGGCTAAACCTCAAGATATTTGTAAGGTATTTGTCCTGAAACGCTTGTGTCGTATAGGACTAATTTCTCACGCATCTCATCTCAAGCCGTTGTTTGAGCCTGTACATGCAGTTATCAGATATCGAGAGAGAGAGAGAGAGGAAGACAACCCACATGCACATGTTTGCTTCATTGAGACAGAAAAGCCAAGTATCTATATTTGTTTTCTTCATATTCAATAGTCCTGTCAGATAAGAAAAGCATAAGCAGAGAAAACCAGTTGCGGTTCTCACAGTGCCATAGAAAGCTTGCTGCTGTGCATTTAAAGCCCATTTACCTCTTCCACAGACATATTTGTGACTTTAAGCCAGTCGTTAAACTAATTGAAGCTGTTGTTTTTTGTTATTTTCGTGTTTCTAAGTGTTTTATCTTTAACCCGCTGATTGTGCAGCTTGAATATCCTATAATGTTGAATTAAAGGATGTTTTGGTATCAGGATTATGTATTTATCAGAATAATACATGAATCTTTATCTTCCAGACTAAAGCTAAAATTGAGAGAACAGTTGAAGCTATCAGTCGGTGCTTTGCACTTGAGGATGATTCGGATGAAGATTATTCTCAGATGGATTTACATGCGTTCAAGACTGTAGCTGAGCATTTCAGGACAACCTGTTTTGACTGGCACGAGGAAGAGGTGAACAACACTGCAAAGAATATTTCATTTATAGCATGAAGATGACCATTCAAGTGAACATCATAGCTCTCTGCTTTTAGGAGGTATTATGATTGGTTGATATAAGTCAAATTGGACCTCATTCATGAAACATTCGTAATTATAGGAGTAAATTCTGAGTAACTTGCGCGTAAAACAGACCTTCCCGAAAACTCTCTCCAGAGGAGAATTCACAAACGCTTCGCACACATCAGATTTGATAGTTAAACATGTGTTTGTTAATGAATTCCAATCATTCATAAATAGGGCGCTCGTGCAGTTCATTCACAATTAGCATAATCCCCGTCTATAAATTACAGCTAACGTACGCAAATTGCAAGTAGGGCTCGCTGCAGCCTGCGGTGGACATCCAAGTGTGACGTTGAAAGTGATGGAAACATGATTAAAAGATATCAAGCCATCAGCAGTGACTATAGAGACACCAAATATGATCGCGGACACCTGAACCCCAACAGCTTCCACTGCGAAGAAGGCTCTACGGCAACGTTCACGCTGATCAATGCTGCACCTATAGATGCAGGCTTTAACCGTATCCACTGGAAGAATTGGGAGAGCATGCTGAGAAGTTTCTTAAGAAGCACGATTGAGAGTGATGGTGGTTTTGCAACAGTCTACATCGTCACGGGGACGGTACCCGATGCGAATCTACGGACACCACAGAGGGAAATCTCTGAAGAGTCTGAAAGGGTGACAGTGCCCTCTCACATCTGGACGGTCTTTCTGCTATAAACACCGCAGTGATGACACAAAGTCTTTCTCCTTCGGCTATTTGGGGGAAAACCAGCCTGAAGGTGGCATACACCTGATGAGAGTCACAGAACTGAACCACGAGCTCAGCAGACTCTATAGTCATCATTCAATTAACATTTTTGTTGGTGATTGTTTTGGTGACAGTGATAAATTAAACGAGGTTCAGGGTATGTTTGACAAATTAAGTAATCTGCCAGTGAACCGAGGAGACCAAATGGCCACAGATGTGCAGAACATGTCTCGGCCGCTTAAAAGGGCTGTCAGAAGTTACCAGCACTGGCACCTCACAGTTGAAGGGTACTGGTGCAGGTATGATCACCCATGTGACACACACGGTGTGGACTACTACTGGTGCTGGACCGATTATGGTGTATTTTTCGACAGCTGGAACTACTGCAGCCCTCCACTGCTGGGAAGCACAGCTAAAAACGGGCAGTACTGCCGCAGCAACCATGCCTGTTCCACATATGGTTCAGGATATAGGTGGTGCTACACAGATGATGGCAATGAAGACATGTGCTGTATTTCTGATGACTGCTTCTCAGCTGTGAATGACAAGAAATGCTGGTTTGATCACCCCTGTGGATACCATGGCTATAGTTACATGTTACACGGATGATAAAAGCAACTGGGATTGCTGTTGCAAAAACTGTGATCAGTGGGTTTATTACAATTAATACCAAAGTATTACTTTGATAAGTTTTGTACTTGGAGCACTTACTAACCTAGAAACATATAAAATACAATAATTCTAACAAATTCTAACAAAATTAAGACTTTCTGTTGAATGATATAATGATTCCTCATAGCAACCTTGCATTTGTGTTGTGTTTTACTTTCTCTCTTTAATATTCATTCATTTTGAATCATTTATCATTTAATTATTCCATTTAATCATTTAAAATGATAAACATTTAAGTCATTTATAAACTCATTTCATTTATTCATTTTTTGATTAGTCACATATTGTATTGTTTTATTTCGTAATTTTTTCCATTGTTGTAATCTTATGATTGTGTGGTTTCAAGAGATATTTGTCTTTATGAGGAGGAGATAAAAGAAGGTCTACGATTCAGGTCTTGACTCTTTAACGTTAGTTTTTCTGTGTTGTTGTTTCTGTGTGTGTAATACACATTTGTTATGACAAGAAGAGCCGAGAAAAATTGTAATGAAGTGGTTTTGACAACTATTAATGATGACGAAATCATCATCTGATTCACTGATCTCAACTAGTGTCTAATTTTATGGGTTGATTACTTTTTTTGTTTTTGGTACTACTAAGACTCTATAAGAGATATTGACAAACTACTGTGAAAAAAATTTAAAAACATTTTATGCACAAAACCTTTAAAGCTACAGCACCGTTTAGACACACACAGACATCAAGAATCAGCACATGAATCTCAACAATGGTGACTATTATTAATAAAAAAAATAATAATCATGCCGCAATGCATGCTGGGTGCCAGTACAAAACTCCCAGCATGCATTTCCGCATGAAATTGTTTTTTTGATTGTCACCAATCTTGAGATTCATAGGCTGAATGTTGATGTCTGTATGTGTTTAAGTGCTGTCATAGTTCAAAGCTTTTATTTGGGTATTTAGTGCTTAGGACTGTTTCACAATGATTGCGGTAGCATCAGTGGTGCAACTCAAGAGTATTAGTTGCATGTTACACACTTAATAATAGATTAAACATTAGGTGGAATCAGACTAGGTCATGATGGTCTTGACCTCACAAACACCAGTTTTATCTGATCATAGATGCTTTCGGCTTTTCTTGTTATAAAAACTGTGTTAAATAAACACAACTAATTTAAGCAACCAAAGAAAAACTCTTTTTAAAAAGGTAAGGTTCAAGAGCCCAACTAAAGCAAACACCGATCGCCATTATGGTGACTTCAAATGAAAGTACAACACCTAAAATCTCAATAAGAGCTTTTGTACACATGTGAGAGAAATAAAGTCACACTGGTTAGTAATAAGAAGCTGGTGATGCTGTTTGTGGAGCTGTTTAATCCTCCTCTGCTGAGATCTTGAT